ATTATCTATGTTAAGAGGCTCAAAGGCAGGATTAAAACAGAGGCAGTCAAAGCACGAGCGCGGTTGCCAAACAAGTAAAATGGAATATCAGATCCATCTGGCAGCACATTACGCAAATAAATAGGGAGGCTCATTAATTACTGTATTCACATTAAACAGTCTGTAAACAATTACTAGAAACCAAATATTATAAAATAGATAAAATCAAAGAGCATGTCACAGGGCAAAAAAAATAATGCTTCTGAATGTATTGACATTCTAAGTGTACAAATTAGAGATTGTGCTCTTTCAACACCTGAGCATGATTTAACTTTCTACTGCAAATGGAGCATTCTTTTCTTCCTCGATTTCTGTGTTATCACTGAGAAGACATGTCCCAGTCATTTTCTTTTGAGTCTTTTCCAGTATTTATTTTATATAACAGTATTATAAAAGGTTAAGAACTTCAATATATTTTTGCTGTGTTTTTATTTAGAGACACCATGTGGCAGATAACACATCACTTCATTAAACTCCCTCCCTTTAAAAAAAAAACAACAAAACACTAATGTAAATTAAATGGCAGAAAGAATACATCAGAAACTTACTGTTCCAAGACATTTTGGTGATAACCAATGACACTTCAGTGATCTACAAACAAATATAGCATAAGGCAGCTTTCTTGCGTCTCCCAGTAGAAAAGAAAAACAATGAAACAATACCCTAAACCACACTTCTGGCTTAGCCCCTCTTTGGGATTGTGTTCTGATTGATTATGTCAGTGATAAATACTTTTTAATAAAACTTTCACATATATGTCACCCATCTCAAGACCTATTAAGAAAATCCTGAAGTCCTAAAGCTAAGTTAGCTGCCTGAATACCACAAGCTCTTTCTAGTGCACTGTGCATACAGAGAAATATCTGTAAGTGTGGATTTTCTTGCACCTCTACAAACACTTTTCCAACTAACAGTCTCGCAATACCACTGCCCCCATTTACAGAGGCAGGCAATTTTTTTTGTTGGAGCAACAGGAAGTTCACCTCCCCTTAAAAACAGTTTGGTTTTGGAAAAGCAGCTCATTCAATCAATCCAATTAACAAATTTATTATTAGAAATCAAACAGTATGTGCAGAGACTACATCCAGCTTAAAGAGAGAGAGTGTAGAAGAGCACAAATAATTGCTGACATGTTCTGACCTGATATTGGGTCAATTTTACTAATAACAAAACACCATGGAAGACCAAGTTATTCAGTAAGGACAAAAGATACAACAGGAGCAGGAGACTGCATTGCTTGTACACAGATGTACAATGTTATATCTAGACAATACAAAGAGACTGACTTTTTAGACATTTTCACTCTTTCTTGAAAAGCTAGTTAGAAAGCCCATGTGAAGATAGACAGGTTTGATTTCTTGAGTAGCAATCAGGATCTGGCTTGAAATCTCATATTTGAAGAATCTCATATTTGGAGAATCATTCTGTGGCATTCTCTTACCTGACTTTAATGCAATATCATTATGGGATCACCAACAGTCAAAAAAAAAAAAACCCATGAAATTTATCCTCAGTTTTGAAAAGAGAAACTATATGAAAATGGGACAGTTAAAAAGTAACTAAAAACTGCAGCTACAATGGTCAAATCCTTATAAGAATTAAGAAAGCTATTTTAAAATGCACATAGGAAAAAAGCTTAGTACGTGTTTGAACTACTAAGGAAGTTTGAGAATAGGCAAAAGAAAAGACAGCACAGGTAAACAGCATGCTAAGGAAGGGCACTAGAAACAGGAAAGCATCTTTAGAAGAGGTGCAGAAATACTTGAAGGGAAAAAGTAGTAGAATTAAATGTAGATTCCCTCTGATAAAATGTAAGAAAACAGTCAGATTGCCTCCTTCCAAAAGGAATCAAAACTACTAATAAATCTTTCTTCAAACCTTGGGAACAGGACGCCTTCCAGACTGGTAGTATCACTGATAACCAGAGAAGTTTACAAACTACTTGAGTCAATTTTCACAGTGAAGGAAAGGGGAAACCCTTGTGCGAGATTCACCAGATATCCAATGAGAACTGCTAAAACTGATAGCATGAGCAGTAAGAAACAATTAGGAACAGATGGAAGTTACTAGCAGTGTCTGCAGGATTGCATACTTGATGCCAAATTCTAAAAATGTTTGCCTGGAAGATAGGGAGCCTGACAGGCTAGGCCAGGAAGCCTGCTCACTCTCCACAACTAGTAGACATCTGGATTAACATTATTTACTTTGAAGAAACAACATGACTTTTGTAGAGGGAAATTCTGCCTTATGAATCTACTGAATTCCATGAAGAGTCAACCTGCATGTTGAAAAGCGTGACTTGTATAGCCTAGTTGCATTTATCTGCTTGCAGTAGATAAGGGAATGCAAGCCTAACTGAAGTATCTGGAAGATTTATTTCCAATTTCACATTGCTTAACAGCTAAAAAGCTGCTTGTCTCACCTCTTCCCAACACATTCCTAAACACTCAGTTCTCTTAAGACTGTGCTGCGTGCAATGCTGCTCAGTCCCTCTGTCACCTTCCTAGCTTATTCTTCCCTCAAAACTGTAACATCGTACTTCCTTTCTTTTATGAGATGAGCAACATTGGCAAGGCTCTGGAAAGTGATTTCAAGGGGAACAGCTATAAAAGGTAGATTTCTAGGGAGACCGGAAAGCATTCTAACCGCTACAATTACAAACACTAGTCCTCCTCTTCTAAGTCTCCCTGTGAAAAGGGATGCTGCATGAATGTGCTTGAATAAACCTATGCTCAAAGCCAGAAAATACCCTGCTTGCTAACAAATAGCAGGTAAAGTAGAATGGAAGTGTGCAGAGCCTACACCAGACTGTCTGTGATGAAAACATTTCAGAAGGAAAATGAAATGCCTCTCTAGGGAAGCTCTCTCTGCACTCCTACAGTCTTTTTCCATGGAACCAACATAGGGCTCAAACATACTATTATCCCTCTCATGCTGCTGGGTTTTTATTGTTCATCTGAGCAGGTGGCATTTCTGATCATGAATAGCAGTCTAAAATATGGGCTCCACTCTACTGCGTGAGGACATGATTTCTAAAAATAGCTCCATTTAATTTCTGGACCATTCTTATAGATTAGGGGTGCTGCAGCCTTCACTTCTTTCAATCTCCTGTGGAACTATCAACAATCTGAGCTGTGGTATGTCTCATTTTGTACTTGACTCCCTGCACCCTGCTATTTGCACGCAGCAAAGCAGTAGTTTTCTTCCATCTTGGCTGGGATAAGTTTTTCAGGACTTGTAATTATTTAATCAAGGGCCAAGGGGTGGGAAAATACAGCCACTGCAACTCCCATAGTTGTGGTTAGAAGTACACTTCTAACTGGCAGCAGGACAGTCAGCTAAAACACTGGAGCAAAACATCAAGTGTTAAAACCTTTCGGTTTTTCAATGACAGTCCTTTCACCTTTGTCATCTCTCTTTAACAGGACCCCACCTCCTGGGATTGTTTTTAAAGATATTATCTTCTGAGCAAACTAGGATAAAACATGATTGGTCTCCCAGAAGCATAGCTTTTCAGAAAACCAGCTTTAGAGTTTTTACAGGCAACCAGATATTTAACGTAAGCCTGCCTCTGTAGTTTCAGACACTTCCCGACCAAGGAAAGGTGACATGTCTGCAAGGCAGCTCGTGCAAGCATGACTGCAGATTAAATCCAAAATGTTCTGTGGCCCACTGAACGATAGGCATTAGGTTGGAGGGCACTGTGCCCAAGTGAGCCTTGCATGCCTCGAACTGCCAGAGGGGCTGAGAAATACCAAGCTCCGTGTACTCAGGAGGGTGGGAGCTGACTCTGGAGCTGTCCTACAGCAGTGCAGAACCCATGCAGCCCTTGCCCTTGCACAGGCATGGCTGTGGAGCAAACTATGATTACTGAGAAGAGTGTTCTATGCCAGACAGATGCATGTCTAACAGTTGAGAACCTCTGTGCTTCGTTTGCCAACAACCAAAGCACTCTGCTGGGAGTAGATGTAGCTGTGTGTTATCTGCTTCTGCTGCCTACGATGCAAAAAGGAAATAAGGGCACATGAGCCAGAGCACGCTCTGATCAAATTCCTGATCTAGACTGGACCGTGTGCCCAGGGCTTGCCAATTTACAACATCCCGACTTGGAAGGGATGCACAAAGATGAGGGAGTTTCATGATCCTTGAGGTCCCTTCCAACCCAGGCGATTCTGTGAAGTCCTGGCTCCACACAGCACCACCCAAACATCGGGCCGTACGACCGAGAGCGCTGTCCAAACGCTCCCTGAGCTTCGGCAGCTGGGGCTGAGCCCACAGCCCTGGGCAGCCTGTTCCGTGCCCGCCGCCCTGTGGCGCAGACCCGGTCCCCGACCCAGCTGCCCCTCCCCTGACACATCTCCACGCCGTTCTCCCAGGCTCTGTCATTGCCAGAGAGCAGAGCTCAGCGCCGTCCCTCCGCTCCCTGCGAGGAGCTGTAGGCTGCCACGAGGCCTCTCCTCAGCCTGCTCTGCTCTGGGCGGAACAAACCCAGGGCCCTCAGGTTTGTTTACTCGTAACCTCTAAATATTCAGCACCAGACTAAGGTCCAATCTGCCTAAATCTCTGTGTGGAGAACGCTTCTCCCTTTTCCTCTCCCGCAGACCTACAATGAGCTCTACCGCCGTAGCATCCCGTTAGGACAACGCGGAGGCCCCTCGCGGGCTGGATCTACCCCTGCTCTCACCGTCCCGGGACCGAGGCGGCGGGCGCGCCCGGCTTCCCCGCGCCGCTCCCCGCGCGGAGCCACCGGCCGCCAGAGGGCCCCGCGCGGCCTCCCCGCGTGGCGGAGCGGCGCCGCGTGCCCGCGCGCTCCCGGCCTGCCCCGCGCCGGGGACTACGGCTCCCAGCAGCCGCCTCGCCGCGCCCGGCGCCCGACGGCCGGCGCCCGCCCTCCCCCTTCCCAAACGGCCGCCGGGCCCACGTGACCGCCGCGCGGCCAACCGGGTTTGTAGCCGTTTTTTTTTTTTTTTTTTTTTTTTCCTTTCCCACCCGCCCCTTCCCCTCCCCGCGGCGCTGGTGCGGCCAGACCGAGCTAAGATGGCGACCGTGGAACCGGTGAGTGCCTCGTTCCCGCTCGCCGCACGCCGCTCCCTCGCGCCCCGCCGCCCCCTCCTTCCCACCCGCCGCCCCTATTCCTTCCGCCGCCGTTCCTCGGCGGGGCCGGCCGGGCCGCGCGGTGCCGGGCCGGGGGCGGGCAGGGCGGCGGGGCCGGCGCGGGGCGCACGCACGCACGCACGGCGCCGGG